TAAGATCAATTACGTCAAAAGAATTGTTTCTTAGTTTTATTGTACCTCGTCACTGTCATTCAGGATAACTATCGCCCCGACCCGATGATCCATACACAACCTCCACAGATCTACCTCTGTATCAGGGAGGGGTATCTGTGTCAGAATCAGCCCAGAGGCAGCAGTGTATGACTAGAATAATTTAAATTTAAAATAAATTTTTGATTTAAACATTAACAAGTTTCTATATTCTAATATTTATTTTTTCACCACTTCAACCAAGAAATAATAAAATGTATAGTAATTCCAATAAGTTTTGGATCAAATTTTTTTGATGATTTGTGTTTTTAAATCACTTTATTTGTTTTCATATATAAAATTTTGGATTTCTTAATTGATTTTAACGAGGCCCGATCTAGTTGAAAATTACGAAAACGGAATGATAAAAAATTTTGATTCTTGGAAATAAACTTGTATGTTTTATGTTTAGAAAAATTAGAATGAAATTTTGTACTTTGCCTTTATTGTAGTGAAATGGGGACACTGTCAAGATATGGACCATTTTTTGTGTTTTTATATACAATTACATACTAAAACTCTTCAATAAACAAAGAAATTTGCAAATTAAAAAAAATACAGTATGAAATTCTTTGTTTTTCACATATATCATGCAATTTTCATTCTTCTTATCAAAAATGAAAAGAAAATTGGAGGTAGCCTTTATTGCAGTGAAAAGGGGGCATGTCAAAACACAAAATTTGGATTTATTCTATCCAACTACGTATTTTATAGGTCGCAATGGGTTTACATAACACCAACAAATGATTGCAATACTGTATTAGTTTCTAAAAAAAATAATATATTCTTACATTATGATTTAATTTTCTCGCCATGCTTTATTTTTCTCTAAACACGCTACGTTGTTTTACGTGGAAAAAAGGGGTAGAGAGAGGAGGGGGGAGGGGGGGGTAAAGGCGACAACATTGCGATTTTTACTAATATCATGTAACATATAGAAAAACAAAATATTTCGGGGGTTCAATTTAAATGATGCATAGACTTATTCTATTTTTTAAAACTGAATATAATCCATGTATATTTAAGTCCGCAATAAAAAGAGTGTGTATAAACACTTCAGCATATTCGAAGAGAATGACTAAAATCGTTTACTTTTAGTTGCAGTGTTTGTTTTTTTAAACTCACAAATTGAAATAAAACAGGATAAAATTAATGAATCTGTACCAAAAAATTGATCTCTTAAGTTAATTAGGTTCCAAAGTTGTTTATTAATTTAAATATTAAAAAAAAAAAATAGAAATTCCAGCTTTCAATGCATAGTCTATAGCGCTACCAGGTAAGCAAGATCAGCGAAACATTTTAGCGCAATTTGACGTCATTTTAATTGTGACGTTATTGTGTTCAATTGTGACGGCAGTCAAGGGTATTGTGACGTGTCTGAGTCGACGCTGCGTTAAAACGTATGCGCAGATCAAGTAGATTGGGCCTCGTTAAGAAAGCTCTGAAAGTAAGTATTCATTCAATATTCAGTAACTGTTACTTACTGGAACAATGACTGCATTTATATAGTCATTTCTCCCTTCCACAAATGAAGAGAGAAATGGTCGATATTTTGACACTGAAAAATATTTTTTATTGATGAGAAGGACAAACGGATTAGACAGAAAATGTTTCAATAGTGATATGATAAATATACAAGGAATTATACTGAAGTTTATTTTTTGAAGTAAAAAGCAGATTGCACTTTACATGGTATAATGTCTACAATCATCGTCATACACGGGTTTTATTGTTTCAAGGAACTACAATGTAGGAAAAGTAATTCTGAATATATACATTTGTGGTATCTCTACATTATATAAACATACAGAGACAAAATAACTTCAATTCTGTATGAAGTTTATCAGAGGTCAGAGGTCAATACATGACCTAATCACACGGTGCAATAATATCTACCGGTACATAAATCATAAAATGACCTCTGCTCTACTTGTTTTTCATGTATAAAAAGAAAAAAAATAAGCAAGTAAAATGATATTTATTTTCTTTTAAATGTAAACAAGTATTTCATACAGTTTTTGGGCTATCTATTTAACCTGTGTACATAAAACTAGGAGCCTAGCGCGTAGCGTTTGTTTACATTTTTCTTCACTTTTGTCAGCTGCACAGTCTCTAACGTTCATCCTTATTTTTGGTTAGACATTTGGTTAAATTTTCATGATACACTATTATTTTATCCTTAAATTTCACTCACGATAAATGTGTAAATGTGTTGAAAAATATCATTGCAATTATGCCATGAACAGCTGCCAAACACCTCGGCGTTTTCGTAGTTCAATGTAAAGCTGTCGCCAGTGTCTCCGTATTTATCAGTGTTTTACGATAAGTATGCCTTTAGTTACTGAAACCGTAGAGTGTTTTTGATCAAATTGCAAATTAATTGGCTCATATAAGTGTCTCAACAATCCATCGGATCCATCCATCCCTTTCCGGCGACCGAAATTTCTTCCAACTTTTTATCATCAAACTTCGGACGTGTTTCTTGTGTCTGTTCAGCATCGATTATCGTTTTTCACGAATACAAATATTCCCAGACAACAATCTGTTCACTATTACTAATCACAAGTAGCCTTTCACAAAATATTCCCTTCGAAATAGATTCCTAAGCCGAATGCATTCGAAGCGTAACCGCCATGCAAGCCAATTTACACCTTGCGTCATTTTGCAAAATCTACGAGGGACGGTTAGTGCAATAATTTGAATTCGACAATATTCAATTGTCAGCCTCAAATGTATATATAAGTAATAAATAACAAGTTTATAAACTTCAATGGGAATTGAAGTGGGTCGGTACGTGATCAAATCTTCTGAGAAGGCCTTCGGCCTTCACAGGATTTGATCATGTGACCGACCCACTTATATTCCCATTAAAGTTTATAATTTTGTTATTTATTTCTTAATTAAAAGTAAAGTAAATAACAAAAATACAGGTACATTATAATATTTGTGCATGTATTATAGAATCAATAATCATGAGTTAGATGAAATGATACATATCGAAAACTTAATAAAATTACTTTAAAGTCCTGGTATAATTGTTGTTGATTTAATGGCGTCGAGTCATTGAGGAGGGAACTGGCTTTTGTGACAAGATCATATTCTGATATAATTGTGTCTCTCTCTTGGAATCCACACAGCAAAGCTTTATGAAGAAATACGTACTGCTCCTGGTGGTAAAATTGAAAAGGACAAGAGCTTATTATACATGTAAAAGTATACAAAAACGATCAAATTTTACAACTAAAATGTATATATTTTTTTCTTTTCCAGATGATAGTTGACAGATTAAGATATCAAATCTAAATATTAGATATATAAGAATGGTCAATTTGTGGAACTCCCAGCCACCTTAAATAATGTTTTTTCCATATCATTATATAAAGCTATGCTAATTTTATATGCTCTTAGTATTTAAAATGTTTTTTTTATATATTCAACTTCATATCATGGTTTAAAATTTACGATATAAAATCTTATTAATGATTTCCATTCTTACTAATGTCTGAACCATAGACATCCGGTCCTCTCTCATCTGTTTGACAAACTCAAAAACGTTGATCCGCCCCTTTTCTCGTCCTTGTCTCAGCAAGGAATCCAGACCAATAAAGGTACCTGTTCTGCCCACCCCCTCGCTAAAATAAACAAGTTTTATCTGAAATCTCGAACTATCAAACAAAGTTCTATAAGAATATTTCCATTTCTATTTTTTTTTCTGTGATAACTCTTGAAAGTTGTCGGAGTTTATTTCTTAATAATTCTGCCGGAATGTAAATTAGGCAAAGGTCAGGAGCTAAGGAGGCCTAATATCATGCAAAATGCGCATATGTCTTTGTGTCTACTAATGAGGCCAAATATGCATGTAAATCTCGTGTGGCTGCCTATGTGTTTGACGTCAGTGGGCGAGGACTATTGAAATTGGCATGGAAGTTCTCGTGTAATTTAAGTCTATGTCTACATTTTTAAAGTCTTAAATCTACAATTTTATTTCATAATGAAATGGAAATATAAGGAATCACTGTCTAAAAATATACTTGCAGTTATAATTTATGTATCGGACTTTGCCCGTTATGCAAATTATCCCATGTTTGTTCGTTATCCTGGCATACATACCTAGACAGTGATTCCTTAAATACATCTTATCAAATCCTTGTACAACTTCTGTGATCATCTAATTAACCCGTATTAACTTTTCTCAGTAAAGTTTAGAGGACTATTTTAATAAAATTAGGAATAGCTTGTTTTTATACTTATTATTTTGCCTACCAGGATAGACTTGCATTTGTTATCCGAAACAATGAATATCTAAGCAAATGATATTTAATTTTATTTCACGTTTGTTGCAAAAATTAGAAATATTACATGATTTACAAAGCTATACTTTATCATTCAAATAAAAAAAAAAAACTTTGTAAAAATATGCTGCATGATTCATAATATATCTAACCTGCAGTGAACCAGTAAAGGAGCTCCAGGTTCATATCTCTTAGTAACAGCTCTATGGAACTGAACGAGTCCTATCTCTTCAGGAGTACCGTGATCTGGCCATGCCGTGTAATGGAACTGGGTGATTATCCTTATGTCATTTGACTGTAGAACAAAAAAAATTGAAAGTTTAATATGCTTTGTGTGTGGGATAAAGATTTGCATTGTGATAGACAAGATTAATATGCTCACATCAAATATATGACCTTAACAGTATCAAATGCAATATATAGTATCTCATCTAAAATAATCTGCTTACATATCTTTTCTTTTTCTTTTTATTTATACAGTATAATTTTTATTCTTAATGATAAAGCATATATTGATTTGTTAATCATTTGATAAATTGTTAATAACATAACAAAAGAAACGTACATCTTTCCTCTGAAATGAGAACATTCGAACTGTGTAGAAGGCATACATCGTTTCCTCTAAATGACTAAGTGTACACTTCCCGATACATACAGACTTTCCTTTATCTGGCCAGTATTTAGCACATTTATTCTGATAAAAGAAGAGAACATAATGTTTTGCCAATATCAGTTAAAAAGGAACAAAAACGTAAAATTGACACTTAACCATACCTTTCCATTTTCAACTATATTCGTCAACATTATAATGCATTCTATGTTTTCTTGCCATATCATTCTTATGAAGTCTGCCAAAGTATTATTTCGTGGACCTTCATTGAATATATGAATTAACTATTACTTTTTATTTATTTATTTATTAATAGGTGATGTATTTGAGATGTATCCATGCCTCACAGTATTATGGTATAGAAATTGAATTATTTTCCTAGAAATTTTTAATTATGTTTATTCATTTAAGAAATAAATATAACAACTGTATGTGATTTTTTTTACCTTGGGCTCCAATATAACGCCTTTCCCTTTTATAATCCTAAAACAAGGAAGTGTAAATAGTATCTACAAGTTACAAGGATTATAAAATACACCAATATTTCCTATAAAAAAAAGAGATTCTTGTGACCATAATATGTAACTAAATACGAAGGTCAACAAAAGGCAACAATTAATTATAGAAGATATTATATATTCAAATGAATTAACAAACAGTAAATGATACTTTATAATAAAAATAACGGAGATTGATGAAGAAAAGAGAATGTGAATGTAAGTGGTGTATTTCCCATGATCAACTACTTAGAAAACTATTTACTAGGTGCATAGTTTACGTTTATCATTAAAACGATTGAAAAAATATTAAACTTCAACTTATGCCAAAGAAAATTATAGTGATCCACAAAAATAGTCCAGTACTGCACTGTAAAACATACCTTTATATAATTTGCGTTGATGTAATCGTTGTCATTTTCTTCCCATTTCTCCTGAAGGACAACCCTCGAATGTTCATCTATACCAATAAGGAGGAGCAATTAATCATATAATTTTAATTGATGAGGAAATTGATAAAGAAAATAAAATAAGAGATTTCTAAATTATCTTTCCACTATCTGCTACACTTGGACCTGGAAAACTTGATCAAACCTTTCAGAATCATTTTTTTTTTACAGATTTGGATAATATTTTTTCCGTGTCTCTGTAAATATACTTTTATGTTTATCTATATGAGTTGTGTTGAATTGATATAGTTGATAGAGTTTCAACGTAAACGTCTGAAGAAAAAAGTCGTTTTAAAAACATGCAGTTGAAATGTGTTTATAAATTTCATTTGAAAAACTATATTTTTTTATTTGAATATATCATGTTTAGAAGTTGAAAGATTGATTGATTGATTGTATATTGTTTAACGTCCCTCTTGAGAATTTTTCACTCATATGGAGACGTCACCGATGCCGGTGAAGGGCTTCAAATTTAGACCTATACTCGGCACTCAGGGCCATTGAGCAGTGAGGGTTCTTTATCGTGCCAACGCCTACCGTGACACGGGACCTACGTTTTTAAGGTCATATCCGAAAGACCCGTGACTTTCACTTCTAGTGCCGAGCGCTTGGCGAAGGAACAGTCACTACCTATGTTTACGTCTTAGGTATGACGCGGCGCCGCGATCGAGAATCGAACCCGGGCCTCCCGATCACGAAGCGAACGCTCTACCACTAGGCTACCGTGACCGGTAGAAATTGAAAGAAGAAAATAAAGTAATATATTGTAAAAGCCTTACCTAAACATTCTGCTGCAACAGTGATGTAAGCCTTCATCCTCTCCATATTTACTTGTTATTCGTGACACAGAATGCCACCTGTTTTAAATGTTAAAAATAAAAAAGACGAAGAAAAACGAAAATATGTCATTGAGCAACCTGTAATTATCTGAAATGTGAAACAAGGAAAACATTTGAACTTGTTATAACAAATCACTCTAACTTAAGCTTGACAGTAGCGTGAATCGGTAGTGTATTCACAATGTGAATCCTTTATAACCCATCAAAATTTTTGCTTTTGAAACAGATGGAAATCAGCGGTTAATGTATTCCAAAACTATGCAACTGTTAAAACTTTCCCTTAGACAGCAATTTTCTTCAGATGGCTGAATTCATAAACAAAAAAGGCATTTACATCCAATTACTACATTGTCCTTAAAAATAACAGTTCTGAACATACGCTCAATATTGAGCATCTTTTCGGCTAAAAAATGTCTGTAGTTAATTGATGATAGACAATGGTGTGAACAGTGATGATAAACAATGTTCCTAGGGGGCTCTATGTATTCAATTCTTACAGGTAACCAATCCCACCCGAAATCATTGTTAAAGTTCAGAGGAATTGAGGTATGGTAAGCAATTTTTTCTCTCCCTGAGCTGAAAGCTCAAGTGAGCTTTTCTGATTCCATTTTGTCCGGCGTCCGTTTTTCTGTTTGCCTCTATGGCTGTCTGTGTGTAAACTTCTCCCATTTTCATTTTCTTCTTCTTCAGAACCACGGCGTCAATTTCATCAAAACTTTGCACAAAGCATCCTTGGGTGAATGGAAGTTTTTTTTTTCAAATAAAGGGCCACCCTCTCTTTCAAATGGAGAACCACTCGGTTTTGTAATATTAAACTAATGTGGAAACATCTTACACCCGAGATAAGGGGTTGGCAATGATGGAAGATCAAAGTTATAAATGAATAAATAGGAAACATCCTTGAAAACCTTCTTCTCGGGAACAACATTGCCATGATTAATCATATTTATATGGAATTTACTCAGGTAGAGTAATGTCAAGTTATAACCTCCAGAGGTAGGGCACGGCCAAAATGGCCTATTAAATTTTTACTTAGAAAAAACATAGTAGAAATCCTTAAAAATCTACTTCTCGAAAATAGCAAAACCATGATTAGATTGATCATATACATATATGGAACCACAATCAGGTAGTGTAGATTCAAGTTAGTTCAAATCATGACCTCAGGGGTAGGGTGGGGCTGCAATGGCCGATCAAAGTTCAACAAAAAAAATGTAGGAACATCTTAAAAATTATTCTTCTCAAGAACAAAAAGCAACAAAGATATGATTGGTCAGTGATCACATTTATATTGAATCATCCTCAGGTAGTATAGATTCAAGTTTGTACAAATCCCTCAAGGGTAGGATGGAATCACAATAAACAATCAAATTTATACTAAGGAATATAATTATACAAAATACTGTGCAATCACAAATTTTCGTGGGGGTTTAATTTTCGTTGTTTTCGAGGTGTGAAGAGACCCACGAATTCATGTCCACCACGAAATGTAAAATGTTACATACATAAGTACTCATTAATTCTTGATCCACGAAATCAAATCCCCACGAACCAAGAGATTTTCCTCAAACCACGAAAATTTGAACCCACGAAAATATGTGATTTTACAGTATAAGTGAAGCCAAAGTAAAATGTTCAAACTTACAGCGAAAAAGCCAGTGTAAGTCAAAGAAATATAAATAGCTTTGCTAGTGTATATTCAAGTTAATTCAAATCATTATCCCCCTCCCCGTTTTAAGCCATGGGTTGATACATGTACCACTTATTCATCAAAGGTTTTTCAATACTGGATTGAATTTTTTTTTTGCTTTTTTTCCTAGCCACTGTGCTCAGATGAGCGATGTAGCCCATGGGTTTCTTGTATGATATATAACACAAAATATAAAACATCCCATTGCTGGTTACTTTGATTTAAGGAAATTTATTCAGCAAATATTTGAAAAGCAGTCTGATGTTCAATATATCATGCGTTTTTGCAACAAAACATGCACCAACTGAAAAAAAATGTGAAAATTAGAAAAAAAGAAATAATTTTAAAATCATCTTGTAAATGGTACAACATATCGCACAGAAAAAAATATTGGCATCATAAAAGGTATATTTCATAAACAAAGGCGTTAAGGAGCCAAAATAACGCGATGATGAGTTCTCTTAACTATTTGTCTCGATTGAGTTCATCATTTGTGTAGAGGTGCAATTCTTGATAATGACAACTGTCCGATTGAGGAGTTATCTTTTGATAGGTTGGATCGATGATCGTTTCAGCTATTTGGTCGTAAACTTTTCCAGGTACAATTTTTGTTGAGACCTTTCCTTTATCATGGTGTCTCCGTCTAATTTTCTTGTATACAAGTCTTACCACTGCATATATAAGGGTTACAACAGCAAGTGTTGAAACAATGTATATAATCGCAGTTGAAAGATTTGAAATGCCATCATCTGTAACAAAATAAATGCATCATTACATCACCTGTACCATTTCTGCGTCTGAGAAACTCTATCAACGCTACCTTAAAATAGACATGACCATGTTTCTGTTTATACCTGACAGAATTCACATACTTGAATTTAACGACTCCTTTTTTTAAACTAACCTGTATTTAATTCTTCAGTTAAAGATGATTCTGAAATTATATTTGAAATTTGCTTTAAATCTTTATTAAGATATAAGATATATTTATTAAGAATAAATCTTTATTAATCTGTAAATACGTAAAGATGATAATTTTGATTTTTTTTCTTTCTTTCATTCGATGTATCACGCTGACTTTGACTTCAAAATTAAGGAAATTGACTTATTAACATGAAATCACATTATCTTTATAATATCATGAGATAAAATTGAAAACCTTTCGAACAAAACAACCCAGCCCATCCAGTCACACATCCGGCTTCACATTTTCCTGTCACTTTCGAACACGGTTTCTCATCTCTACAGTGTCCACAGTCAAAGGCACAGTTTGGTCCGTATTTATAAGCTTGACATTCTGAAATCAAAATCATTAATAGAATAGCTAAACAGAGTAGAAAATAAATATACGAAAGCACACATGATGAGATAAAACTAAAAAAAAATATTTTCTTTACGATACATGACAGAACATGGAAATGCAAGAATTCTTCAAAAAATATTTTTTTATGTGATTGCCACAAAGTCTTTTTATTAACAAAATGAAAATCTAACTTATTCAAGGAGTTAAGCACATAAAATATAAGATATATATCTTAATTTGTGCTAGTTTACTCTTGTAAATGGTTATAATTCAAATAACTTTAATAATAATAATAATAATAATACTTTATTTAAAGAGGGTAACCCGATTAGTGCAATGCACTAGTCTTCCTCGGGGCCCTCTAAACACATTCACAATAATACAATTATAAAAACATTGTACAATATTATAATAAATAATACAACATGACGTGAAAATACAAGGACATATACAGATCGATTCAAGAACATGGAATTATATGACTTTTAGTTGCGACATGTTATAATGAATTTTTCTACAGTTTTACGAAAAGTTTGTAGAGTTGGTGAAAAACGGATATGCAAGGGTAATTTGTTCCATAAATGAACACCGGAATAATGAAAAGAATTCTTAAATTGATTTGTTCGATATTTCGGTAGATGAAGGTCATAGTTTGTTTCAGATCTAAGAACATAACTATTAGAAGAAATAAATTCAAAGGAATCTCTTAAATAAGTTGGTGCCATACCATGAAGTGTTTTGTACAGTAATATATATTTATGAAAATCAATTAACTCATATATGGTCAGCCATCCAAGTTTTTCAAATAATGGTAGTGAAGGGGCATCATAAGCCACATCTAAAATAATCCGGGCTGCCCTTTTTTGCAATTTAAAAACTCTATCTATGCCAGCATCTGGTGCATTACCCCAAATAGTAAGACAATAATTTAAAGAAGGCAGAATGTATGCATTATAAAATAGTTTTCTCGTGTGTAAGGGAAGAAATTTTTTAATTCTGCGTAAAGTATACAATTTATAAGTCAAAGATTTACAAACTGAGTCAATATGATAATTATAGCGCAATGAATGGTCAATATGTACTCCCAAAAGCTTTTCAGATTCAACATTTTCAATTAATTTGTTTGAAGCATATAAATTTAGTTCAGTAGAATTTATTCTTGATTTTCTTTGATGAGTTCCCATTAGCATACATTTTGTCTTGTTGGTATTTAACACCATTTGATTTTTGGAACACCAATTTTCTATCTCACACAAATCAAAGTTTAGGGCATTCTCAATACCTTCTATATTTTTATGATATGTATGTAAGGTTGCATCATCAGCAAACATATCAATATCTGTTCTATTTACATGTAAAGGGAGATCATTTATATACAATAGAAATAATAGGGGACCTAAGATAGATCCTTGGGGCACTCCTGCTGTGACGGGCAAAAAATCAGAGGAGTGTGTACCTATTTTTACACACTGAGACCTTGACGTTAAATAAGATTGAAACCATTTAATAGCCATTTGGTCAAAGTGATATGATTGAAGTTTATTTATAAGAATATCATGATTAACCAAATCAAATGCCTTGCTAAAATCGATGAAAGTTATGCCTACTAAATTTCCTTGGTCCATAGCTTGTGGCCAATTATCTGTAAGTTTTGTTAGAGCCGTTTGACATGAGTGAAATTCTCGAAATCCAGATTGTGATTTAAATAAGAGATCAAAGCTAGAGGTAAAGTTACGTATCTGATTTGCTATGTGTTTTTCAACTAATTTTGATAATGTTGGAAGAATGGATATCGGTCTGTAGTTCCCTGGATCTGCATGGTCGCCATATTTGAAAATAGTAGGGACTTTTGCTTGTTTTAAACGGGATGGAAATACTCCATTAGTGATGCTAATATTTATAAGATGTGTAATAGATTTGCATATAACATTTGCCGAAAGCTTTAGAAGACGAGGCCCAATCAAGTCTATACCTGCTGACTTGTTTACATCAAGTGTATTCAACATATTTAATACTTCGAACTCACTTGTATGATTTATACTGAAAAAATTTTCTTTCCCTAGTTTACTTTCTGTAAATTTATTTAATAATTCTGAATCAAGACTTTGTACTGTCATATCTGCTAATAATTTACAGGATATTTCAGTAAAGTGTTTGTTAAAAATATCAACAATATCCTGTAAATCTTCAAAATCCGAACCATTTTGTGTTATACGGGTAGGTGTTAAATTTTTGGAATCAGATGCCAAATGGTTTAAATAACTCCACATTTCTTTAGGACTTGAACTTTCTTCAATTGCTGATTTGTAATACTTTGATTTGGCTTGATCTATTAATTGTGTGACTTTATTTCTCCAAAATTTGTAATTTTCTGAATTTCTTTGTAGTTGGTATGTATCACGTAAATGTCTAGCATCATTTATTTCCTGTGTAAGCCATTTAGGTCGAATTTCAGTCTTGACTCTTTTAGTTTTTACTTTGGCATGCTTGTTAAGAACATCATTAAATAATTCATAAAATTTATTCATGATCTCGTTTGTGTCTTTTAGTTCGAGAAGAGAGTTAAAATTAGCATTTTCTAAATCTCTTAGAAACTCATTTTCATTGAATTCTTTAAAATCTCGATATTGGATTTCAGAATGTTTTCCTCTACGCTGTATACAGTTAGTTTTCCGTGTCAAACATACGGGGTAGTGGTCAGATATAGCAATAGGGGGCACATTTGTTTCGCATATGTTTTCTGGTTTCGTTGTATAAAAATGATCAATTAAGGTACTTGATGTGCTTGTTATTCTAGTAGGAACAGTAACTATTTGTGAAAGTCCAAACTCCTCTAAAGCAGATGTCCAGTATTGTGGGGGGTCTTTCATTAGATCAATATTGAAATCACCTGATAAAATTATTTCAGTATGTCACAGCAGGAGGCACGGTTCACCTCCCTCGCTAGGTCCTCCGCCCAGCAGGAGGGGGCAGATGGTGGACGATAAGCAGAGCAATAAAATATAGGTTTTGAATTTTTCAGATTTATCTCTAGCCAGATTGTCTCAATATTACTGATCTCAAAATCAGTTCTACGTTTATATGTTATATCACTAGCAATATAAATAAGAATTCAACCACCTGCCCTTAATGTACGATCCTTTCTTTCAAAAACAAACCCATCAATAAATAGTTCTGAATTCCCTACTTGCTCACTCAAAAAAGTTTCACAAAATCCTAATATATCTAAAGATTGCCGATTTTGAAGCAACAGTTTAATTTCATCCATTTTAGGAATAATATGACCGAAACGTAAACCTTTCTTAATCAATCCAAATCCTGAATCTTTTTGTATTTGTGAAGTATGAATTTGGTTATTGGTTTTAAGTACTTGATTTTTTGTTTGTGAAACAGATTTGAATGAGTTTATCATAAGAGGAGTAATGTTAGAAGATTGCATAATTGAGCTCTCATCATTGAGAGAAGTTCTTACTTTGTCCAAGAGAGTCTTATTCTTAACATATGGTTTTCTAGGCAATTCAGATTTAACAGAGGTATTATAAATAAAGTTGTTAGTTTGATGTAAACAAGAACATTGAAAATCGTTACATTCAGTACATACAGTGCCTAGAATAGAATATCTATTTGAATTTAGTGTAGATTTAGTATTGTCGTGAACGGCTATACATTCCTTGCCTAATACCTAATACACACAGAATTTGGTCTTGTGGCCTAGTTCTCCGCAGTTCCAGCAATCTAGTTTTCGGCCATGCCTACAGTGGCGTGAGGTATGTCCATGTTCACCACAGAAGTAACACGTTACGGACTGGTTAAAGCTGGAATTTCCGTTGTCCCTTTGTGCTCCCTTGCCACGTAAAATGGAAACTTCGTTGTTGATCTGTTTAAGCAGTGCTGAAGTTCCCTTATCGGAAAGGTGTATCCCGTCTTTCCAATATTGCACGTTGTTGACCTCTTTGAATACACTCTTATTGGAAATGAACAAAGCTCCATACTCGTTACAAACGTATTTTAGCGTGTTATTCACATAAGAAACATCTACGTCCCGTCTCGGTAAGACTTCTGAGAAATAGACTTTGGTAGTTGGCGACCGATCCTTGATGTTTTTGATGATTTCTACGGCGTCATGTTCAACAGCATCTATATGTCTACGAGATGAGGCATCATTTCCCCCGGCGTGGACAATTATGTGAGAGTAATCTTCAACAGCAGTTTGATGTAATTTTGACTTGATTCCGGAAAGCTTGGCCCCTCTGTTGGTTCTCACATGGACACCTTGTTGTAGTCCCCTTGTTCTCACCCTTTGTAAAATAGAGCTGCCTATAATAAGTTTGGCCTCACCAGAAGTTTTCTTTTGTTTCAAGGATCTTGCAGGTGTACTTGTAGGTGTGGGGTTGATACATAACTTTCAATGAGTTATTCATAGACTAGACAAAGTAAACAATTCAAACAATCGGACATTAATAAATATATTTTTCAAAAGATCATCCTTTCTTTATTGCATAGCAATAGATGACATATACGATATGGTTGTCTATTCATTTATGGCTTTACCATCACATTTAGGTCCGGTCCAGTTGTCCTTACATCCTTTAGGACAGATTCCTGTTGACTGATCATACAATGTCCCTGTCAGACAGTGTCCACATTTATCATTACAGTGATGTCCATACATACCATTCGAGCAACCTGTTAGGAAAAAAGTTTGGATTTGAAACCGCCCCTGTCCATATAAGCACCCCCTTAGGTCTTTTTCAATTGTCTGGAAATAAGGGCCCTCTGTTCAGTGATTAAAATTATCTAGAAAGACTATAATCATATCAATAGTCCTCAAAAATTTGAATGAATTGAAAATGAAACTTGTTTATTATCCAATTTCTTGATGGAAAATGATTCATTTAGCACACTTTGGGTGGATGTTCTTCATTTAAAGTAAAGCTAGTACTTATTTTGAAAATTCTTTGAATTTATTATTTTTTTTTCAAAATATTTCTGAAGTTAAAATATGATATGAAATATTACTAAGAGAATGCCAAAAGAACCGCCCCCTTTTTGCAATTTTCTAGCGCCCGGGGCTGTTAATAGGGATTAAACGGTAATTCAAAAGAACGTTACCATTTTGACCATATATCTGTGATAACCATAATGCCTTACCTGTACACAATAATCCATGCCAATTATCCATACAACCGTCTGGACATACACCCGTGGCGATGTTGCAGAATGTTTCATTTCTACAGTGCCCACATTCTTCACATGTTTGTCCATAAAATCCTTTTTTACATACTACAGTTAAATAAAAATAACAATAATAAGGCTCTAAAGTCCATTTAACAATACAAACACAGACCTCTAGAACATCAGAGTTGAGCTCTTCTTGCCAAATAAGTTACATTGGCCATGTGCTCCTTGTCATGACCGGGAAATAACGGAAAATATCCCTCGACAAATCCATACGTAAATAGAGGTTAAACAATTTGAATAAAAAAATGTCAGTCAGCATTTGTTTCAAATAAAGAATGTTTAAAATAATCGTATCCACCATACTGTACGAAATGATGACTTTAAACAAAACTGCTGATTTTTAATTCTCCATAATTATCTCCTTTTGAAAGCGGGCTTGTTTCTTTATTCAAACATAAATGAATTCCCTTCATATAAGGATACTTTGTGGCAAGTTTGAATGAAATTGGCTTGGTGGTTCCTGAGAAGAAGACGAAAATTTGAGACGATTACGTCGACAACAACATCGACAGACAACGGACACATTTTGATCAGAAAAGCTCGATTGAGCCTTCGGCTCAAGTTTGTTAAAACCCATATACCCTAACCCTAATAAATAGTTCAAATGCGTTTTTTGGTGTGATTGGAATATGGCGGTTTGTTTTCATTCTGCATAGCAACGGCAAGAGAAATACCTTTTCATGCGCATTTGCGTGATTCTGAGGACTGGTGTAACATTGAATATTGACCCGAGTTGAAAATTTACTCGAGGTTCATTTTTCAACGTTGAATATTGAACCGGGGATGTTTTTTCTCGGAAAAAAATTCAGACCAAAAGTAGTTGTTGAATTTCTACCCGGGACATCTTTCAATAGCTTGAAATGTTTGTTCATCCTTGATGACCTCATCAAGTTGAAAATTGACCTAGTTGGTTATTGACTCCACCTCAGAGTTTGAACATTTTTTGAACTGGAAAGTTGTTTTACGGGATTTATCAGTATCTTTATATTTATATTTCGGATTCAATTTTTGATTTTTCAAGATTAATAGAAATGAATCTATCATCCAGATTATGTATACCCGGTATACATTTGATCAGTACACAATTTCAATTATCATTAAGCATGACAACTTTATTTTTTGACAATCCTAAAACCCGTGGCATCCAGTAAGATCAAGATCAAGTAAATAACTTTAGACTAATTTTTGGTGCTAGATCCATTATGACGTCATAATCATTTTCAACTTTCTTTTTCCGTACTTTAGCAAAATTATGTAGAAAAAAGTGTATTTTCATGACATTCAATTTGAAATGATATGAGAAGTAAACCGGATACCTATATTAAATTTGATATTGATTTAAAGAATTAAGAGGCCATGTACATACTAATTACCGTTTTCTGAGAGAATGTAGGCAATCTGGATACATTTCCGTTGTCGAATATGAAAAAAATTCCCATATTCATGACTGGTTTTCTTAATTTTTCATTGTAAATGATAGTTTAAAATACAGTTTTTAATCTTGTATACCTACAAATCATGCCCTGAAAAACCTTATTTGACCAAGCTAAAGTTGTAAAGTATCAATAAAGGAATTTATTTTTCAAATTTGATAAATCTGTAGGCACCTTTCGTTTACTATATCTTGATCTTAATAACAACAAAACTATAATAGGGAATAAACAAAAATTCTGGAAATCTAGTGTGTAGAAAGTGAGCCCTGTATATATTGATCAGGTGGGCAGACCATACCAACTAGTCAAATTTAAATTTAAAATTAACAAAATTAAAAGCCTAAAATTATAATGAAACACATCGGCAAAAATGAATTTAATAATAGGTTACAGATTATTTGAGACAGATCAGTAAAGCGACCATAGCATGTTAGTAATGATGTATTTAAAGGAAGTTGTTAAAATTCCTGTAGCAAAGGTATTTGTCAGTAGCCTTCCTCGGCTTAAGAATTGATTGTTTTCGGAGAATAACCTTGAGAAAGAGATAAGTCTTATTCTAAAAATATCATTTTTATTCGAGCGATGTGATTCCTATTCGATTAGTTGTTATTCCTATTCGATAATTTCTGTAATTGGTATTCGACGAATTGCTATTCCCATTGGAGGAAATATGACAATATGATTGCTATATCATAATATATCATTCTTTTTGAAAGCAAGCGTTTCCTATTTGATGTCCTTTATATTTGAAAATATGCGATTCCTATTCGCTAATTTTGTCATTCCTATTCATCACTTATTTTATTTTTCTCATTCGATTATTATTTGGTTTTTTATACAATAAAGTTATTGTTCGAAAACATACTAGCACCCATTTCTATTTGAAAAATACGATTCCTTTTCACTAAACTTCTTATCTTATTGCTTTATTTTATCTCTCCTATGCGATGTTCTTCCTGTTCAATAATTGCATTCTCGGAAATATGACCAAAAAAAAAAAAAAAAAAAAAAAATAGAACTGGTTGAAATAGGAAAGATATGTTTAAGATGATTATGGAATCTTAATTATTTCATTATCGAATAGAAATGACAAATTTATTAAATCACATATTTTTGAACAGAATAACAACTGAAAGGTGTTGAATTTTCAAACAGAAAAACATGTGTTTTCTCACAAGAAAAAGAATTTATTTTAATTAAGAATAACAAAAAAAAAAAAAAAAAAATGAAGAATGCAACGTTTTACCCGCCATACCATAAACAGGAGAGAACGGTATATAACTTTACAAATACGGAAAGTTTACTTTGGAAAAGATGAATAAGAAATCCTTTCTTTTCTTATACCGTATAGTTTCGGTTGGCCTTTATCTACTATATTCAGTAAAACTTCCAAACATGAAAAAGTTGTAGCAAATTCAGTGGAAAACTTTAATTAAAAGTTTATTGGGATATATGGGGTCGACATTTGAACTAAAGTAACTTCAGATATTTGATCTTCCATCATTAGTGTATCTAATGTTAGGTTGAACCCCACAGCAAGTGATTTCTTTATATCACGTAAAGTTTTTTTTTTTATAAATATATTCTGATTCATAGAAGTATAAAATCAGGTCGGCCAATAAAGAGGCACAATTAGTGACCATCGAAATTCCCGATACAGGATACTTTTTAAGTAGAATCAGGGTGATTTTTAACAAAGTGATTTTCGTTGATTACCTATCCAAGAAACGAAAATTTCCGTTTCCACATTTATTGCAAAAGCAGTTGTATTGATGTTAAAATGTATAGTTTTGAATCTCTCGTGAAGAATGCTTGTTTAGAGTGTAGAAAAGTTTAACAATTTGATAATACAGACTTTAAAAAAAATGGTGATTTCAAATTTTCTAAAGGGGAACCAAGCATCCCTAGCCCCCTCCCGTTCCTGACGCCTATGGATCAAATCACAATTGAAAGAACCAAGTCATAAATATGTATTTTTTATGCTGTTGAAATTAGAACCTGTTTTATGATCAAGATTTTACGACCCGGTTCAATTTTCAACGGACTAAGTTCTAAATTCAACATCTTTGATCTCAGAAGTCAACGTTGAAAATGACCCAAGGGGTCAATTTCTAACCCGGGTCAAATACTAACGTTACACCAACATACAAGAAACTATACATGACGAAACATAGAAATGCAAAATTTCTTCAAAGAATTATTTTTCTCTTTTCATTAAATTGCCAAAAAGCCCGATTATTCATAATAAAAAAATAAAACTTATTCAAAAAGTTAAATACATAAAATATAGATCTTAATTTGGGCAAGTTTACTCTTGTAAAGGTCTGTTATTAAAAAAAAAAACATTCAATGAGTGTTCCATAAACTATCCAAAGTTGATAAATAAAAAAAAAATCATTTATTGGTAAATCAAAAATGTTTTTAAATGATCATTCAATCTTTCTTGTATAGCAGTATATGACGTGCGATGTAATTGTCTTTTCATCTGTATGCTTTACCATCACATTTGGGTCCGGTCCAGTTTTCCTTACACTCTTTAGGACAGATTCCTGTTGACTTACCACACAATGTCCCTGTGAGACAGTGTCCACATTTCTCATCACAGTGATGTCCATACAAACCATTCGAGCAAACTGTTACAAAGATAGTTTCGATTTGAAACTGGTTCACATTGTCAAGTACTAAATCAAGAGAACTTTACCATTTTTATCATATATCTTTGATATCCATAATGCCTTACTTTTACACAATAATCCATCCCAATTATCCTTACAACCGTCTGAACATACACCCGTGGCGTTGTTGCAGACGGTTCCATTCCTACAGTGCCCGCATTCTTCACATGTTTGTCCATAAAATCCTTCTTTACATACTACAGTTAAGTACAAATAACGATATTAAGGCTGAAAAGTCCATTTAACAATACAAACACAGTCCTGTAGAACATCAGAGTTGAGCATTGTTTGCCAAATAACAATTACAATGGCTGGGTACTCCTTATCATGACCGGGAAGTAACGGAACATATCTCTCGGCAATTTAGTACGTAAATAAAGGTCAAAGAATTTTGTATAAAAAACGGCAGTCAGCATTTGACCTAATTAAAGATTGTATAAGGTGACAAGATCATTGTATCTCCGATAGAATGTATGAAATAATGACTTCAAAGGAGACTGCTGGTATTCATTTTTCATAATTATCTCTTTTAAGAAGCGTTCTTTCATTTATCTTTTATATGACGACCATAGTGCATTACCTATACACAATAATCCATCCCAATTATCCATACAACCGTCTGAACATACACCGGTGGCGATGTTGCAGACGGTTCCATTCCTACAGTGCCCACATTTTTCACATGTTTGTCCATAAAATCCTTCTTTACATACTAAAGTTTAATAAAAGGAGCAATATTAAGGCTCAAAGGTCCATTAAACAATACAAAAACAGACCTATAGAACATCAGTTTTGAGCACTGTGTGCCGAATAAGTTAGAATGGCTGTGTGCTCATTGTCATGACCGGGAAATAGCGGAAAATATCTGTCGAGAATTCAGTCCGTAAATATATTTGTATGAAAAACGGCAGTCAGCATTTGACTTAAATAAAGATAGTATAAGGTAACAATACTCCTATAGAATGTACGAACTAATGATTTTCAACCAGACTGCTGATATTCATTCTTCTTTATTATCTCTTTTTAGAAACGGGCTTGTTCCTTCACCTGAGCAAATCTGAATTCCCTTTACCTAAGGATGCTTTGTGGCTAGTTTGATCGAAATCGGCTAAGTGGCTCATGAAAAGAAGTTGAAAATGAGAAAATATTACGACGAAAACGACAGACACCGGGTAAACTTTGATAAGAAAATCTCACTCGAGCATTCAGCTCAGCTGAGCTAAAATACATATACCCTAACCCTAAAAATTGGATCACATTAGTCTTGTTCAAGTGTATGGAAAATGTCGGTATGTATACATTCTGCATAGCAACGGCAAGAGAAAAAAAATTTCATGCGCAGCCGCGTGATTCTGTGTCCCCATCAGACAGTGATAACACTTATTATTACAGTGATGTCCATATATACCATTCGAGCAAACTATAACGAGGATGGTTTTGATTTGAAATTTGTTCACATTGTCAAGTACTTGTTCAAGAGGATTTTACCATTTTGACCATATATCTTTTATATGACAACCATAATGCCTTACCTGTACACAATAATCCATCCCAATTATCCATACAACCGTCTGGACATACACCGGTGGTGATGTTGCAGACGGTTCGATTCCTACAGTGCCCACACTCTTCACATGTTTGTCCATAAAATCCTTCTTTACATGCTACAGTTTAATGAAAGGAGCAATATTAAGGCTCAAAAGTCCATTTAACAACACAAAGACATACCTCTACAACAGCAGAGCTGAACATTATTTGCGAAATAAGTTACAATGGCTGTTTGCTCCTTGTCATGACCGGGAAATAACGAAAAATATCCATTGACAATTCAGTACTTATAATTAAAAATAATGAATTAAGGTTAAACAATATGTATGAAAAACGTCAGACAGCATTTGTCTAACATGTAGTGACAGATTGTATAAGCTAACAAGGTCATTGTATCGTCAATAGGATGTACGAAATGATGACTTTAATCAAGACTTCTTATATTCATTCTTCATCATTATTTACACACTTTATTGTCGACAAAATCATGATAAAGAACCCAATGTGTGACCGATCGGCAGGGTTGTTAACTCCTCCATGGCACCTGATCCTGCCTCTGAAGTGTTTTTGAAAGTCGGTGTTTGCTATATATCTTGTCTTATCTTTTTCAATCGTTGAGGGACGTTAATCTCCAAAATGTCATTCTAAAATCATGAAATCGAAATTTGAGTTTATTTTACTTGAGCAATAACGAGATTCAAGGACATTTACAATGCATAAAAACAATGCAAATCAGGAGCAGGGCAAAATCACAATATCAGTAAACCAAAAATCTCTTTCCCTTTGTATTACTTCGATCAACAATGAGCAATCCAAACAAACTAACAGGGTAAGAAATCAAGCAGTCATTGGTTCAAATGTGTCTCTTTTTGAGTCGATAGACTACTGTTCTATGTTTCAAGTCATTATCATACATGGAAAATTAGAATTAATGTTTCAGTTAGTCGTGTGCTTTATGTTTCAGGTAATCTTCTGCCTTATAATCCGAATCCCTGCAGTCAATATGAGAAAAATGCTAATGAAATTTATTGTAACAGGTATGAGATTAGTAAAATAATGGCTTTCGATGAAAATGAAAAAAGGAACATGGTTTTATCGGCCAATAGTTCCAATAAAAAAAAGATTGTGCAAGCGTTGGTGAGACAAAATGTTACTATAAAAAGGGGAAAATTGATGACATTACCTGCATGAAAAGATGAATTCATTCTGATGTCATATAATTAATATATTCATATATTCCATTGCTAGCGGACCATTTACGTGAAATAAATGGAAAAAAGGAACAGTATTTCGGGACAAAATTCCATTTAATCATTATGAATTGGAACAGATCAAACACGGACCTCTACCTGTGAAACATAAGAGGTACACGTATATTAAGACGTCTATTGTCAGGAAAATATCCTAATACTGATAAAATACATTAGAGATATGCATATGTACATGTATAATATTAAAATAAAACTTGGTTATAAGGAATTCACTGAGACGTATGAATTTACTTCGCTATTTCTGTAATTCGTTGTATCCGTTTAAAAATTCGTTAAATTTATATGGCTGGGGACCGAATACAACTTCACAATTTGCGTGTTTGTACTAAACGAATTTAACGAGTTGTTGATGTAACATATGAATATATAGATATAAGAAAATTCTACCAATCTTTTGTCGCTGGATATTCGTGAAGGATTGTTGCATAACTCAAACCTTTCAATAAGTGAAAAACTTCCTAACCGATCAGAGATAATACCGTCGCATTTGTATCCATTCCAGCGTTCTTGGCATCCATCTGGACATACCCCTGTTATGTTATTACAGAACGTCCCAGTACTGCATTTACCACAATGAAATGCACAGTCTAGCCCATAAATTCCATTTTTACACATTAAAATTAGCAAACGTGAGAACCATAATGCATAAGAGATCATCTTCTGTAAGAATTATTGAAACTTTTTTCAAACAATCTGCAATATTAGAAAATTAAACTCCTTTCTAAGATATTTTCTTAATTTTAACTACAACATTTTTATTGTTTGTAAAGATGCGTATGATAATTTTTTTATCAGTTCTCAGTTATTTTCAGTTCAAAATTTTCAAAAAAGCTTTCAGAAAAACACAAGAAATTTTCTCAATTTTAACTACATTTTTATTTTTTGTGGAGATGCGTTTGTTAATTTGATTTTTGACATGAATATTTTCAGGTCAATTGAAATTGATTTCAGAAAAAAAAACACTTTACCTGTGCACCTTGGGTCACTCCAGTTATCCTTACAACCATTCGGACATATTCCACTTGTTTTGTTACAAAGTGTACCAGTTTTACAATACCCACAATTCTGTGTACAGTCTGGTCCATAATAGCCGTCTTTGCACTCTAACAAAATTTAAAACATGTTATAAGTAAATGCATATATCTATATATTGAACACCCCTTGATGTACAGATGATACAAGCTATCTTTTGTAATAAAAATTAAAAATAACAACTGGAATCATGTTTTAATAAATTTCACCACGTAGTTTATTAGCTTTTTATTCAAAGTTTCACAGCAAGGCCTCTCAAAGTGAAAAATATTTTAATAGTCTAAGCTTAATAAGTATCGTTTTAGACATGTAGAATTTCGAACATCATTGGAGGTTCAAAATTTCGTAGTACAAAAGTATTTAAAAAATGTATTATTTGCATCATTTGCAACACAAATAAACCCAGAAATATATACCAATCCACGCATCCATTTTTGATTGTTTATCTGTCCTTAATATAATAACTAACCTGGTGTAAACGAAGAACAAACTAGATGCGAACTGAGGATCAAAGGTCTAAATCATGAAAGTGCTACACGCCACGTCCGACTATTATTGACATCTTTTTATCGGGCATTTATGATTATTGCCTGAGTAATGTATTTCAAAGAAAATAAACATTTGAAATGAATTTAATACCCTTAATTATGAGCTGTACTATGCGGGGAAGTAATGCAAAAAACTTACTACAATTACAAAATTTGATAAGGGGGTTATATCAATATCTTTGTGATTTTCTCTTCAACAGGTGTAAAAAGCATCCCAAATTAATTTGTGTTTGTGTATCTTTTCATTTTTTGGTAGATAGAATTGATCATGATATTGGGATTCTGTTACCTGAACAAGACGGCGATTCAACGACATTGTCACGGCATCCATAGATACAGGAACCATTAAATGCATCGCAAACTGTATCACGACATTTAGGGTTACAGAGATTGCAGTTTTCTCCATAATGTTTAGATGGACAACCTAAAACAAAAATAAAATGAAAGACAGATACTGATTTCAATTTTTAACTCATTTAATAAACTCTTTATATAAACTTGTATTCTTCCATAAATATGTAAAGACATTCTTTACCAGGAGTCTTTAAAATATATTTCAAAAGCATTTCTTCACCTACCCATCACCTTTACTTCACAAATTTCAATTGATGCAACTAATGATTCATAACCCGCACACGATGATTTGATTGGTGTGTCCTTTGAATTATACAGAGCTATCCCCTGAATATCTTTATTTATAGTTACTGTTGTCACACGGTCAATACAGGTAGAGATATCGTGAGTGAACAGTTTATGTTGAGATGGGTCAACTGGAGGAACATATGATGAGTCGTTGAACACAAAGACAGAAAACCCCACATGTCGATTCACAGCTGAATAAAGTATAATAATTTTTGAAAGATGTAATAATAATCTTAAGAGTTACAAAAATGTCTTTTTTTATATGAAATTATTGTTCATATAAAAAGATAATGTTTCTGCCAAAAAGGAAAATTATTTCCATGAGCAATGTTGAACAAAAAAAAAAACTATCTAACAAAGTGTTTTAAAGTCAACAAAACTTTCAATTTTCACAAAGCATTCCATAGCTTGACTTGAAGAAATAACCCCTTAACTCTTTACAACTTACTTAACTGTTCTGGAACATATACCTAATGTTCGCTTAAAAGATTGATTGTTTGTTGTTTAACCTCCCCCCTCGAGAAATATTCAGTCATATGGAGACACCACCCTTTGCCAATGGAGGGCTAGAAATTTTGTCCTATACTCGGCACTGATCAGAGCCATTGAGCATCGAGGGATCATTTTGGTGCCAGCACTTACTGCGATACGGGACTTTTGTTTATACTGTCTCATCCGAAGGAACAATCTCAACATTGCACAGTGGAGTTCGAATCCGCCATGCTAGGATCAAATACTTACTTCTCAACTCTAGACAAGATGCTCTTCCACTGCACCCTACGGGCGACTCGCGTAATAGAAATATGACGCTATCTTTTCTCCGCAAGCAATTTATAGTGCGATACAAGTTATCTTAAGTTACGCGTAAAATATTATGACGTAATATTTTAAGGTAAGTCCGTCCTTTCAGAATTTTCTGTCAAACTGATATTTTTTTTAAAAAATCTGAATAGCTTGAATAAGGCATTAACTAACTAAAACATCCATAAAATACATATATTTTCATACACCATGCCTCAAAGTACATACCTCTAAAATTTCAACAGACAAAATTGAACATAAAGAAGTGTGATATCATATCGTATTTAGCTAGGCACCAAATCACATCATCTTTATGTTAAAACTTATCAAAATAAAAAATATATTCATTTGCCAAGAGAATATTTAAAATCATCATTGGATAAGATTAACAAACTAAAGTTGAATCTGTCGACATTTTGCAGAAAAAAAAATATCAAAATATTTTTTTTAATATAATTATCAAAATCTAACTGTTTATATGCCCTTTTTTAAAAAGGAAATAAGAATTATATATAAAATTAACAAAAACACAAACTTTATTAAGATTGACCAGAGAATTTTAACAAATCAGCTTTTTGAACACGTATACCCTCAATTTTAGAAATATCATTTTTTTTTCATTCTTTGCAAACTTTGAAAAAAGTAATATTTTAAATGATGACGTAGGCTAAAAATCAATAGGAATACATATATCAAATTAGTTTGTTAAAAAAAAATTAAAAAGCTTTAAGTCCATTAAAGCAATTAAGAATGTTGTGTCTGTGTATGTACTAAATGACATGTAGTTCCTATGGACAGAGTGTTATGTTTTTATTTCCATAAATAATGAATATTAAATGCTTTTTATGCACAATGCAATATAATAAACAAATATATTCTTGCAAAATTATTTTCAGTCATCTAAAAAACAATTTATTTCGATAGACAAGTGATAATCAGAATTTAATATTGGTGTGTAAAATTAAAACCTGGTCCGTAAAAGTATGGACCTTCCTTAAGATTCCTTAAGAAGAAAAAAACTTTTCTTATTTTTTGCAATTTTAAAAAGTATAAAATAGAAGGACATTAGCATTAAATTGAGAATAAAATATACTTTTTAAAATGCGTATAAATGCGTGATTGCGGGGAAACGAAAAGATATAATGGTGATGTTGTGTATAAATAGGAAATAGTATATGCCTTGAAAGGGGTGACTGCAGGTAAGGAGGTTAATAATTCTTGATATTTGAAACTTAAGAGAATTTAAAGAAGATGCCCAAGGAAAGCTGATCAAAAGGATAAAAAATTATGTTAAAAAGGTTTACACCTCAAGAGGGCAAAGGGGAGGGTAATATTCCTATCTCTAACTGTTCTACGATCATTATTATTTTTTAAAGAAATTAAGATTCTTTGATCCTCTGATATGAGAGATATCTCTTAATAACATAAATGTCTACTATTCTTTTCTAGATTTGACAATTTGAAGTGTATTTTTGCCCAATTTTGCCCTGCAGGCTATGCTATACATGTAATTATTTATATTTTACATGTTAACAATTATTTTGGAAAATAGTTAAGGTTCAACTAATATTTTAGATTAATGAGAAGAGGGTTTATGAACCTAAAGCAAGCAATACACGTTCAACTAGCCATTCTGAATCTATATAATTATTATCATTCAATCATATGTCATATATAAAGAAGTTGGAGGAGTGTTAAATAAGTGATTTATTTTTACTGTTATACTTGACACCTAAACGCCCAGACATGTAAATTGCTCAAACGAACTTATTACACAGTTAGAATTATGCCCCCCCCCCCTCTTTGGGAAGTTCCTTACAAAATTCTTAAATTCCAATCAAATATGCCAGGGGTTTGGAACTTATTAAATAACATGTTAACATTATTTAAAAAATGTTCTACTTATTACTGTCAAGCGAATAAGCAAATTGCAAAATAAACTTTACAGTAGTTTCCCTTCTTAAAATCAGTCAGGGGTTCTTAAAAACTATTTTTAATAGATGAAAAGATGTTTGTCTGAAACACGGAGAGAAATAAAAGGTAGTAAGCAAGAAAATGAATACCTTTTTAACATGGTGGCATCTGTATGCAAGAGTATTTAGAATAGTGTTTAGAGAGTGAAGAACTGTTATATTCTGAATGGAAAAAGAAACGCAGGGTAACATAATATGCAGTCTGATTAAATACAGATCTCTACAAAGCACTTTGCGCTTTGTGCTACAAGTATGTAGATATTTGTATTTTTAATCAGAGTGCATAACATGTAACATCAAATGTGTTGATCACATGACTGAAAATTATGAAAACTGGTAAGATGGGAACCTTGGTTACTTTGCACTAAATGCGGTGTTCAGAATAACTCAACTTTGATATGTAGGGAGAAATGGTAAATAACCTAAAAATGTACAATTTTTACCACAATTTTTTCAATATGCTATTGGTCATTCATCATTAAATGCACTTGAAGATTAAGCATTGTTTTTCGATATTTACAGACAATTTAAATGCCTTGAACTCAAGGTAGCGCAGACGGAAGTTTAATATGGTAGGGCTTTTTCATGGCAAACGTTGATGAAAGAAGGAGTGCACTTATGGGTCCAAGTAAGATATGAAAAAAATAAACAATCAAATTAAGCAAAATCTTTCATGTCAAATCATTAATTGATATTAAATCACACGATTTAAAAAAATTCCGCTGAAATTCACGAATATATAAAGAACAAAACCATACAATTAGGTAGGGGTCAGACGACATTTGTGATTTTCTATAGTAAATTGAGAACGGTCATTCATTTCAAAGATTTTGCTTACTAGGAGCCTAACATTGTACAAACTTGAGCGAATGACAAAAGACCCATTATACATTAATAAAACCTGTTTGAAAGTAGGAAATTTGTACACGATTAGGCTGGTACTTAAAATATCAAAAAATGTATAAAAAGTATAATATTTCTTTTATAGCAAGTAAGGGCAATTTACCTGTATGACCCATGTTGAAGCCACGTGTGGAATAAATTATTTAAAATACTGATAGTCACGTGAGTTCTACTCAGGTAAACAAAGGTGCTCACTGTAAAACATAGGCAGGTTTTCATCATTTAGTCAAAGCCGTGACACTTAGAGATATTATTTGTATGTATTTGTTTTTAAAAACACGAGAGGGTAAGGAGAGTTTAGTGTCGTTAATAGAAGTGTCATACATTTTAACATTCATGCAAGACAATGAAACAGGTATTTAAAGCCACCTAAACACTTTTTTTTCAATTTCAAATTGAATGAAACTATTATTGTATTTTTTTTCAAATGCAAAAGTACCAATTTCTTAGTTTAATCATCATGGCTACAGGCAACAACTTAACTTCATTCATTTTTTAAGACAGATTAGGCGCAAGAAGTAACATTACACAAACGCGCCCAAGTTTCATCCACCATCAGATTGTTCAAGTGTAGATTTGAATATCATTTACATAAATGAAATTCAAAGAAAGTTCGGTACGACTTTTCCGGATCTAGAGTATCCAAATGCATTTGAAAATATTCAATTGTTTCATATCCAATCTAAGTTAGGTGATGTTTAACGTGCTTTTGAATTAGAAATATCCACTAATATCTAACTATTACCAAAAGAGAACGATTTGGTAATATATTCTAGGGTAAAACAGCAAATAAAAAGGGTCCATTAAGTACTGCTTAAGTGCACTTGCCCTTTGGTTTCAATTGCACAATACCTCGCGTATCATAGCAAAATGAATCGTATTTAGGCTGTTGAGAAGAAAAATTTTCCAGGTAATTATTAGAATATAACAACATTGAGCTTTTACTTGTTTTTGACCTTACTCATTGTGACATAGGGAAGTTATGTTATACGATGTAATCTAAATCTTTAATCTAATCAAATGGATTAATACCGATAAAATCAAACTATTCTTACTAAGCTTTAGCTAATACCGAGCACTTCCTCCATATAAATATTTATTCAAAATGAATTCATGGTAACTACCTATTTTTAAAAATCTTCCAAAAATAAGTGGCATAACATACCTTTTTTGTTAAAGTATTCAGCTTCTATGGCAACCATCACATATAGCAACCGAAATGTATTATTTTTCAACTCCAGCTTATTCGGTTAATTTATTATACCCCCGGATGAAAAGTGTGTGTGTGTGTGTGTGTGTGTGTGTGTGTGTGTGTGTGTGGGTTATATAGTGATAAGGATGTCTGTCCATCTGCACGTTCGTTAGTCTGTCTGTAGGTCTGTATGTCACTCCCTTACGCTTTGAAGTTTAAATCTCTTATCTGCATCTCCTCTAATGCCGCTGAATAAAATTAAGTTACACTTTCTTAGAAGCTTTGTTACACTAGTATAGTGTCATTGTGCAATTCCTATTTTTCTTTTTGATTCGAAACCTGTTTTGGGTTTCCCGCAGCAAAACATGGGCACTGCCATTTTTTCTATTATATTGAGGGGTACCCATCTCTAATCTGCAACTCTTCCAATACAACTTAGTAAATTTTAATAATACTTTCATAGATTCTTTATTATAAAATGCCATTATGCACCTCCTGTTTTATTTTCTGATCTGACACTTTTTTGCTTCTCCCAGAGCGATTGCACGATGTTTTCAGGGTTCGTCAACTTTATGTTGATGTTCTTCTCATTGGGTATTTTTCCATCGTTTGGCTAAATTTACCAGACAAACACATACCCTCCCCGTCCCAATTAAGCCAGACTTTGTCATGACTCTCTCGCAAGCATTAACGTATACTTACTCAATTACATTCCGTAAAGTCCAAATCTTACTCAATGCCGGAGTTTGTTTTTTTAAACTAAGGGTTGCCTTGTCGGTATTTTTGAATAAAATCCCTATTTGAAGAATAAACACTCTGATAAATCCCATTCAATGGAGAATCAAGGCAGTGGCGGACGCAATAGGGAGATTTTGAAGATGATTGGGGGTATCACCATATTAGTTTAATAACTCATTAATTATATGACAAAATAAAACGAATTTTGATTGAATTTCATTGGAGATGATTTTAAGGAGGCTGGGGGGGTCAACAGATAAACCAAAAATTAACCACCATTATTAACTTATTTTTTCAGATATAGTATATTAAGCTGTCATCTATTATTTGGCAAAGAAAAAATTCCTACATTTTAGTTTTGAAATTGAGCTCTTCTTTTAAAGGATATCGAAATAGTCTGAAAATGGCTGCCATACCCCAGCCTCGCTAAATACAAGAAAATTAGCAAAAAATATTGGTAAATACGTAAAATAAAAAAATGAAAATCACACATTTATCTCTACCTTCTTTTTCCTTTCTTTATATGATTAAAGGCAGTATTTGACTTTGATTCCGGTTACTCATAGAAGAAAAAAATATGTCATTTACTTTCACAAATGTATCCTATCAACATAACACGCAAACTTGCTTTAACTCCGTTGCAAAGGGATACTTGTTTTAAAGTATTCAGGTTTGTTTTATAGAAGACATACTTGCGTTTCGAAAAGACTAAGACTTACTTGAGCTTCGGAAATAAATTTCTAGATAAGCTACATTAGCCATGATTTTTAACGGAAGTTTCCACCAGGCTTCCTTAATTTTTGGATTAAGCCATGTAATGCTACATGTGCCTTGTCCACGCTCCTCTTCAAAGTAGCCATCTACAGCTCCCTCTGGTGGTGCGTTATAACCTCTGTAATATGGATCCATAGACGCTTGTCCTTTATATTGTGGTAGTAAACAAAGATTATCTACAATCAATGAAAATACATGGCAAAGAAATCAAAATTCGGAGAAAAGTTGAAAATAAACCGTTTTCAGAAATTGTATTCATCATGAAAAGTGACATTCGCTGAAAAAAAAATCGAAACATTACCCCAGGCTTTTGATACATATACATCTCCCAAAAATATGAGACACATCAACTTTATCAAATCTTCCATCGAGATAAGGATTCTCTTATATTAGCCAAATATGTAATGCTTGTTCAAAATAATAAAAATTACAAGAGAACCAAGGAAGCAAAAAATACGAACAAATGTGGATTGCGTGGCATTCAACATGAAGGCTGTTCTAAGTGCTGTGTTTATAACAGTAATTACTATTCTTAAGTGGAATTGTAAAGAAATCTTTATACAAATGAAAAATATCTTCCTGTTATTACTTTTTCACCCTCTTTTATAAAAGATGATTAAACACCACCGTGACTTTAGTCAGCAGACGAGTTTTAAGATTATCTAATCGTTTCATACACACACTTTTCGAAAGCTTCCTAATATAGAAAAATCTTTTCAATTTTACACAGCGTCTAAATCTTTATAAAGCAAACTGCAATCATATGCCTCGGATACAAGTTCAACGATATGAATGCGCATTTATTAAGATGATACCGCATATTTGAGTTTATCTCACAATATGCGCCGTTATCAAAGCTCTATCCTTTTATCATATGTCATCATTCACCTCCTTTTTGTGGAAAAAACTAATTAATGTGATAAGCTGGAATTTATTTATCCATCTATACAGTGTCGGTACTTAGTCACTAGGTTTACGGGTAATCTCCTATGCATCAATGAAAGTGAAAGGTGGGTGATGAAAGTATCCGATTTATGTTTTTGTATTATGAAATATTTTATAATAATTTCCAGTTTTTAAAGTTAAGTTTCAGTCAAAGAAGAAAAACAGATTATCTTATTAACATTGATATTGCTCGATGGCAAGTATTTTTATTGGATTGAAACAGATCGATTTGCCACCCGTCCATGCTTTAAACACTGGCACATGGTACAAGATTACAATGTGGTAATAATAACCAACTTTATCAGCAGATTTTGAATGAATAAAGACTTACTTAGTAAAATAATATATAAACAAAATGAGCTAATGTAAAAATAGGTATGAACTTCAACTTTATTCGGTCCATGTTATTCAAGGTCATTTGCCAATAAACATCCGTACACATGGTGGCCTATATTTAGTTACTTAGATCCCTTAGCCTATCTTTAGGGGATTTAAAAATGGGAATATCTATAATTATAATTCTTACAGTATGAGTATGCTTTTGTAACTGGGTTTGGTGCATTTATCAGTTTTTGAGTGATTTAAAAAAAAATAAAAATAAATAAATAAATAAATGTTAAGGATAGGATTACCTTAGCTGTGCCATACCAGTCTACCTTTTATCCTAAAAACAGTGAATAAATAAAGATAAAATACAGATTGAGAAGTAATAAAAGTTTGACAAATCTTTAGAAATGCTATTTAGGTAGATTCACAAAGGGACAGAACTCTAATCAAAGTATAAAAATTTCAATCAAGGCCATTTAACTTTAACAAGGGTCCAAAGAGAGGCATGAAAGATATGCAATTGCGAGAAATAAAATAGTTTGAGGTAAAATACATAACAAGTTTTGGTGCTTTTGAATGTAACATTACAATAATGCACTTTATGATATGAATGAAACATCAAGTAAGATGTGTACAGTAAAACTCGTTTAGTACGAACAAGGATATTGCGAATTCACGGATATAGCGAAGTCATCTTGGATCCCCAGCAATATAGATTTAGTGAATTTCTTATACGGTTATAACGAATTACGGATATAGCGAAGTTATTTCATAGGTCCCAGTGACTTCGTTATAACCGAGTTTTGCTGTATTTGTTTACCTATATATTTTCAGTTGTACACATGCTTCATGACAAAACTCAAGGTAAGTAAATATGAATGATGACTAAAAACGTAAATAGATTTTTAGTCAAAAAATTCAGTTGGATGGAAGCATTACAATCAACAATTCAGGCTGTAAAATCTGGGAGGCATACCGGGCATAGGTAACATGCACTAGAGTTGAATTGTACATTGTCTGTCAAATCCACATAATAATAATATATTAGGACCAGCAGCATCATCACCTATTCGGATATCACTTCTCTTAAGGGGCTTGATAGGGAGGACAACTTCAGATTCAACAAGAACAATAACAATGTGGGCATAGTAATTTAGGACCTCAATGGTTTATTAGTAACAGTTGATATAAATAAGATTCCCCAAATTTTATTTTAATTAACTACATGTAATATCTAGCAAGGCTAGCTACTATTTTGCTTTTTAATATATATCAAAGGGTTCAGATTAAGTAAGATGGGGCGAAGGGCATGTTTCGCATATATACTGTGTTGTCATTTTGGTCAATGGTGTAGTTAAAATTATAAATGAAGGAAATAAAAGAAGGCCATGCTGTTCGTTCCTTGGAAGCCGTCTCCAGTGTACATGAGCATAATCATGAATTTCTCTAACAGCGCCTTTACCTTAATTGAGAAGGTTTGATGTCAGATACATATTATAACACAATATACTAAACACATACATTTAAAGGGGCTCGGTGGTTGTGGCCATTTTTTGGCTATTTGGATCTCCTTTAGAAGAAGAGCTCAATAAAGATATAACTGATCAAATTTTAAAGCTAAAATTTATGAAATTTTCTTTGCTAAATGATAGTTGAAAGTTTAATATATCATATCCCAAAATTTAAATTATATCTTTTGGTTAATAATTGTTGACCCCCTAGCCTCCTTAATGTTTTCTCACCCCTTAACAGCATAAAGGCTTGTATCCTATAAAGTTTAGTAAATAAAAAGTTTTGTACCATCTTAAGTTAACATGAAAAATCAGGTAAACTTATTTTACTAATTTATTATATATAGATCATTTCACATATGTTGATTATTTACACAGAGATTAATTTCAGCATGGGCTTTTATTTTCTGACAGTTCTAAAAACATGGGTCTAGTCACTTAATTGTTTAATCTTTATACAAGAAGAGAACTTTGGGTATTGAAATACAATTCTACAAATAAAAGACTATAAAAAGAAGTTAAATAATAATAATTTATAGGTTAATTGAAGCACTGTGAAATAAATAACTTGTCAAGAGTATTAGGACATTAACATAATTAACATTTATTCCTTTGAGTTATCTTTCTAATTGGGAAAAGTGAACATTAAAACAGGAATTGCAACTCATTTCCTGAACTTTTACCAATTTTACTCGTTATTCAATTTGGCATTGGGAATGAGGGACAATTTATAGAGTTCTTCAGGTGCTACAGTCAATGCATATGCAGGCCCATTTGACCACAGCTCACAGTGCTGGTACTTTCTATGTATTTTCCTAATATTGCATATGCTGTATGAACGGTCATGCAAAAATAATAAATAAATAAATAAAATAGAAAGGGTTATAATGAGACTTTATATAAGGTTCAAATTGGGCCTTTTTGTCAGTGTTGGTTTCTGCTGTGTCCCTAAGTTGTTAAGATTTGCTATTTCACACAGATAAAAGTTGCTTTAGTTAAAATTCTATATTCACAGTTTTCAAACTGTGTACCGTAATCTAGCCTTTAGTGCTTATTAGTGATAAAGAAAACTAGTTACCTAAACAATTTACCCTTTGAAAATGTCTGCTGCAGTCCAACTACATTTACAAATGAACAGTAAATACAAAGTCCTCCATTGTGTGTCTTGGTTTGAAAGGTACTTATTATATACAAGATTTACAAGTAATCAATTTTTAATGGTCCTTTGAAGAGTTTATTTTCAAAATAAGTGGTACATGTATAACATCATTCGATGTTACCCAACCTGTCTAAATGCAACCAGAAAGAGACAAATTCCATGCAGGTCTCCACTCTTTATTAAAGTAAACAATCCGGTTTAATATCTATAATTACAAAAGATAATTTTACAAAGATATTAAACATTATTATAAATATAACTACTCATAGAATAAAAAGATAAATCTGTAAATAAAATAAGCAATGTGAAAATGTAATGATTTTGACTAAAACGCGTGCAATTCTATGAAATAATCTATCCCGTATAAATGCAACCAGAAAGATAAAATTCAGGTCTCCACTGCCGGATTGTCTCACTGAGCTACATTTAAACCCTGTACGTGCCATGCATATTCCAGTATTTCTTCAAAATGTGCAATAATGACTTTTGATTTTATTGTAGATTTTGCTCTGATTTCAAGTTTGTATATTCCGTGTTTAAACCTTCCTTTAATTTTTCTTTGCACTTTAAAAATAGATTCTGAATCTTTTTGCATAATCAACACAATCCAAAACTAAAAGGGAAAATCAAAATTCCCTTTTTTTCACCCAATGTTTACAATCTGAAGTCATTTTGGTCTTAAAATCCTTATTTGTGTCTCAACAAGTTCCCTTTTTGAAGATTTTTTTTAGGTATTTGAGGAACGTTCCTCTTTATACACTTCAGATGCATTTGTTATAACCAGACTTTTGAGGAACGTTCCTCTCTCTGAACTTCAGATGCATTTGTTATGACCAGAGATTTGAGGAACGTTCCTCTCTCTGAACTTCTGGTGCATTTATGACCAGAGTTTTGAG